ACTCAGAGAGCTGTCTCCTTTCAGCTTCCACAATAACTCAATTTGCTTTTCACAATGAACACACATTTGTTTATAACAATAAGCATTAACATTATGTATTAAAAATAATAGGCCAGGTGCCGTGGCTCATGCCTGTAATCGCAGCACTTTGGGAGGTCAAGGAGGGAGGATTGCTTGAGCTCAGGAGTTCAAGACCAGCCTGGGCAACATAGCGAGACTCTGTCTTTACAAAAAAATTTATTTAATTACTTAGGCATGGTGGTGTGTGCCGGTAGTCTCAGCTACTTGGGAGGCTTGGGTGAAAGGATCACTTAGGCCTGCAAGGCTAATGCTACATTGAGCCGAGGTCACACCAATGCATTTCAGCCTGGGTGACATAGCAAGACCCTGTCTCCGAAAATAGTGATAATAATAACTGGCATCAATATTAAGGAGCAGCCGTGGATACACGCAGCAGTAGGTGAAAGCAGCCAGAACAGGAAACCCCGCCACAAGAAAGGGGTGCCTGGTGGCTCACGCCTGTAATCCCAGCACTTTGGGAGGCCCAGACGGGTGGATCACCAGAGGTCAGGAGTTCGAGACCAGCCTGGCCAACATGGGGAAACCCCATCTCTACTAAAAATGTAAAACTAAGCTGGGTGTCGTGATACGTGTTTGTAATCCCAGCTACTTAGGAGGCTGAGGCAGGGGAATCACTTAAACCTGGGAGGAGGTTGCAGTAACCCAAGTTCACACCACTGCACTCCAGCCTGGGCGACAGAGCAAGACTCCATCTCAAAAAAAGAAAAACCACAAAAAAAAGAATCGAGTGCCCGGGAGAGGGCAGAGGAGCCACCATGCCTGGTACTGGATGCTGGGAGGGAAGAGTCAGACACTCTGTGCCAATGAAGGACCACCTCAGTTCGCTCTTCTGTAAAATGGGACTTGAACTAGACAAGGACTGCTCCACTATTTAGGCGCTACAGCAAATGGAAGTTATGGTATTTCTGGCAGAGCAACTGGTCCTGGCAGCACCTTGGGAACCTGAAGCAAGGGCAGGGGCAATTGTCCCAATATTTTTGTCCCAGCGTCAGCTGTTCCCAGCCACAGACACAAGCACAACAGAGCAGGCCAGATCCCGAAGCATGGCCAGATGGCAGCAGGGATCCACAGGGCACCACGCCTCGCGAGGCAGCTAGGCAGAGGCCCTGTGTTCATGGGAGAGCAGTCAGGGCAGGCACAGATGCCCGGTAACGGGTTTCATAAATGGGAGAGCCAAGCAACCAGCTGTCCTTGGGTGGGGGCTGCCCCTGGCAGCGGCAGAGGGGCTCGTGAAATCTTGCAGTGGCCCCAACCCAGGGACACACTGTGTGCAGCCTGGGGTCACGAACCACTAGAGCCCTGGGGGTGCCTGAGAGCCCCTGCCTGGATAAACCCAGACAGGTGACAAGCCAAGGTCAGGAAGTGCAAGCAAAAGAGCAGAGAAGCAGAGGAGACAAGTGGCCCGGGGCATTCATCCTTTCAACAAATGTCCATTGAATGACAGTCACACGTGAACTTCAGCAATCTTTAGCTTTTATTCTTTTTCCAGAAGGTAATACATACTCTGTGTAAAAATATTAAAACAATATGAGTGTATCAAGTAAAATGTATCAAGATGTCCCCCCTCATTTTACATCTCCAATTCCACTCTCCAGAGGTAATCATTGCTTTTGTTTTGGTTTTTATTTTTGTTTTTGTTTTCAAACGGAGTCTCGCTCTGTTGCCCAGGCTGGAATACTGTGGCTTAACAGCTCACTGCAACCTCCGCCTCCCAGGTTCAAGCAATTCTCAGCCTCCTAACTAGCTGGAATTACAGGCATGCACCAACATGCCCAGGTAATTTTTGTATTTTTAGTAGAGATGGGGTTTCACCGTGTTGGCCAGGCTGGTCTTGAACTCCTGACCTCAGGCAATCTGCCCACCGCGGCCTCCCAATGTGCTAGGATCACAAGCGTGAGCCACCGCGCCCCCCCAATCATTGTTAAAAGCTTGGTGTGTGGTCTTCTCAACTTTATGTGCATATGTATCTATATATATAAAGAGAGAGAGAGAGAGAGAGAGACACTGTCTTCTAAGCAAAAATAGGCTGAGTCTTCATACTGTTCTGCAGCTGTTTTTCACTTATCACCTTATCACATTTTATATGTCAGTACGTACATCTCATTCTTTTGAACAGTTAAATAGTATTCCATAGTTTGAGTATAATAAACAAAGCTCTCATGTTTCCTATTTTTCACTCTTACATTGTGCAGTGAACATCCTTGAACATAATTCCCACACACTGGTCTGAGTGTTTGTGCTGTAGCAGCTGGATCTCCTGCAGTTTACAGCACTAGATCATGAACATGGCATATAAAAATGTTTAACAGGCCGGGTGCGGTGGTTCACGCCTGTAATCCAAGCACTTTGGGAAGCTGAGGCGGGTAGATCACTTGAGGTCAGCAATTTGAGACCAGCCTGGTCAACATGGTGAAACCTCGTCTCTACTAAAAATGCAAAAAAATTAGCCAGGCATGGTGGTGCATGACTATAATCTCAGCTACCCGGGAGGCTGATGCACGAGAATCACTTGAACCTGCGTGGTGGAGGTTGCAGTGAGCCCAGATGACCCCACTGCACTCCAGCCTGGGCAACACAGTAAGACTGTCTCAAAAAAAAAAAAAAGTTTAACAGACACTGATCAACAGCCTCTGGAAACAGTTATAGCACCAACCACATTGCATAACTGCCTTGCAAACAGCAGTTTTGACTTGAAAAACAAATCAAATCTAAAAATATGCCATCCACACATTTGGAATACAAGTTTTAGGGGTTCAAAGGCCCCCTACCTTGAAGCCCACACAGGACTCCTGGCTAAGACCCCCTTTACAGGAAGACCCTAACAGGTCAATGAAAAGCTGTGATTGCATCTTTTTTTTTCAAAACGTCATCCGAACTCCTCAGGCAGGATATACTGTAATGTGGGCTGCCTGTAACTCACTTGAGGAGCTTAACCCAGGAAGACAGAGACAGGAAACTGACATGCACAGCTCTGCAGTTAGGTGAACCCGACGATTTTCTTGTGTGTTCTGCAGGTGATTGCAAATAACTAACCAAAAGAAGTCTCCGGGACTGTTTCAGACTTGGAAATGTCACAGAAGGAAATTAATATTATAATAAAGTGACAACTATGCAAATCATATCTTGATGAGAGATTTATTAGCAATCCATCCTAACATCCAGGGCGCTAAAAACTATAAGTAGGCTGGGGTTATTGGCTCAACCCTGTAATCCCAGCACTTAGCACTTTGGGAGGCCAAGGAAGGCAGATCGCTTGAGTCCAGGAATTCAAGACCAGCCTGAGTAACATGGCATAACCCTGTCTCTACTAAAAACACAAAAAGTAAATGGCCGAGGTGGTACGCACCTGTAGTCCCAGCTACTCAGGAGGCTGAGGTGGGAGGATCGCTTGAGCCCTGGAGGTAGAGACTGCAGTGAGCCACGATCGTGTCATCGCACTCTAGCCTGGGCGGCAGTGAGACCCTGTCTCTAAAAAAAAAAAAAAAAGAATTTTGCATCTGCGTCTCCCTGCCCGACT